GGCAATAAAACTAAAACCATTTGGCAATTTGCCTCCAGCCTGTGCCGTCAAAGATATTAGTGGCCACCGCGGAGCTTCGAACGCCTTTGATGAGCGTCTTTGTTTTTGTTATTTTTAAACACAAACGACATCCACATCCACATCGATATCGACATCGACAGCTCCTTTAGTGCGTCGTGAGGTTTTCCACAAACAGATAAAGGTTACTGCGGGCCGCAAGTGACAATTGAATTTCCCGCTGATATTGTCTTTGCTGCTTAGCCCATTGCAAGTTAAACACTTGTAATGCGAAAGTGTTTTTGTGTCACAGCGCTTACACAATGGCCAAAACAACAAATACAACTCAAAACATGGCTAACAACCACACACACACACACACACGAGCTGTTAAGTGGTTGACTCGAGGCAATCGCCAGCCAGCTGGAACAGAAGCGAACGAAGGGGACTTCTTCTGGAGTTGGTTTTGCGTTTATAAGTAGCCAAAGACGAGCTCCAAATTGCAGCACACCAGCCGAGGCTGCTCGACTAAAATATACCCAGTGCCCAACTCTAAGCAGCCGCTATAGATCGAAGCATTAGCCGGAAAGATTACAGAATACTCTATGGATAACTGCCCTATTTAAGAGGTGGTATGTACACACTTTTGTAGGTCATCTTTGGAACCTGAAAGTCCCATGAAGATTGGACTATCAGAATCGGAGTTATTCCAGAAAGCATTTCCCACAATTTAAGAAGAAATGGTGTGTATATATAATGAAATTTCCATATTTTGACGCAGAGTATCGCCTGGTCGGGCACTCCTCTCTGGACTATTCTTACTCTTATTTTTTTTTCATTTATCAAATACCTCCTTCTGCTTGTTTTTATACATTATTAACAAGTACAGGGTACGAACACCAATGCAATTGCCCCTATGCCAAAGTAAAATTCGACGCCTACGATGCCAGATTGCATTTAGTTTGATGGATACAGCAATTAAATGGTGGAAAAATGCCGGCAAAACAAAGAAAACAATAAGAAAACCGGATTTTTTGTATGTGGACAGGCGCCTACGTCACATAAAAAGTGCTCGGAAAATGCAGTAGGAATGCGAAAACAAAACGAAGTGAAGGTGTACGACAAGATCATGATTTGCAATGCCGATCTGCGCAACAGGCTAATCGATGCGGCTACACGAGATCAGTGATCGGCGATCAGCGATCAGCGATCGGCGATCAAATTGATTAACCAAGTCAATGTGCGCACGCTCACAATCAATTAAATATGGAGACATTGAGGTGAGGTGATCTGTGTTTTAGTTTGGTGCTGAGCCTCAATCTCCCACAACAAGGCGGCTTAATCATTTGCATGGGCAACAATCGCAGCCATTAAGTCTGATAGCGTGGCGCATGGGTTTGAGCGTCGTTAGTTTGATAGCAATATCATGTTGTTGTTGCTGGACGTGATTATGGCTTTTTTGTTGTTGTTGTTGTTGTAGTTGCAGCTTTGATCAGAGTAACAAGATCATGATGCATTTTCGAAAGCCTAAATTGCAAAACTTACTCACAGAGTCCTTACACATTCGCTGAAAGTGAAAGTTACGATCATCGAAGCTGCGATCACCTGTCATGTGTGAAATGTCTGGAAGGAGATTGCCAGACTGCAGATGCTTGATAATTGGTCGCTTGATTCTGGCGCATTGGATTCACTTTTCAACTGCAAAAGCTAAGCACAACAAATATAATAATTTATGCTAGAGTCCGTTTATGAGCTCCACTCAAACCGAACTGGACATTTTAATATGATACCATTTAACACTTTTACCAAATAACATTAAACACACCAAAAACAACAATAACAACAAAGTGTTTTGGTACTATGTTGTGTAAGGCCGTATAAGGATCGAACGAGCATCGATCGGCGTTGGCGTTAACTCCCACAGCGTCTCGCCGGCTCGTAAATAAGAAAAGAAAAGAAAAAAAGAGTAATATCTGGCCCGACGCAGTTTGCTTTTTTGAATGAATTGGCCACCAATAGATAGTCCAGACAGCTGGATAGACCAACAGGCGACAGCCGAGGCATTTAGAAAGTCGCCGCTCACACGCCGCCGTTTAAGAGCCAAGGAAAATAAATTGAAAACTGTAAAGCAAATTACCAGTAAAATGCATTGTGACAAGACTTTGCGTGGGTGCTTTTTGTCAGCATTCGGCCTATTCGCAAATGCGATCTCTTCAGTTTATATATATATTGCCCATTATGACACCTGTCGTATGGCCAGCACGCAACTAATTTACCATCAAATAAATATTGTATTATGTCTCTGCGCATCTCTACAATATATTATTATTTTGCTTAACTGAACGACTCATGTGCCATGCACCTCTCTCAGATTATTAGCTAAAGGGAATTCCGAGAATATCAAGCTTTTAAACGTTAAAGTCACAAGTGTTCAAAATGTAGATAAGCAAGGACGAACCCGAAAAAACAAAATATCAATAATATGTAAATATAAATAATATGTATAAAAAGAAATACGTTATTTCTATTTATAAAACTGTTTGTCCTGTCTGACTGTCTGATTGGTGATCACAGCACAACTCAAACAGTAACATCTAGGATGCTGAAATGTTCACTGTAGTTACCTTAGGTAATGCAAGTGCACGAAAAATCATTTGAGACGTGTTTCACACTTTTCGCAGAATCCAAGCATATACATACATCTGTGTATGTACATTTTTGCATATCTGCCTGCATATATATGTATGCATGTTAATATATATATGTATGTATGCAATTTTGTTTGTGTATATATATATATATATGTAGATACATACATACATATATGTGTACATGCGTACACACATACATATGTGCATACATACATACATACGTACATACATACATACATATCTATGCACATGCATACATACATATGTACATCCATACATATATACATACATACATACATACATATGTGCATACATACATATTTATATACATACATACATATATATGTATATACATACATATACACATACATACACACACATATATATGCACATACATACACACATAAACATACATATACATACATACACACATACATACATACACACATACATACATACACACATACATACATACATACACACATACATACAAAACAAATAAAAAAAAAAATACCAAAAAACACAAAAATAATATCAAAAAAAATTACTACACTGCTAGCTAAGCATGAAAAACTGCAGAGCCGACTTGAATTCTTGAGAATCGAGGAGGAGAGCACTTGGCGAAAATTCGTTTTATTTAAATTTGCAGCACAGCGAAAAATAAGCTTCGGCTGCGTTTGGTATTAGAAAACAACCATACATATATTCATACACGCATACATACATGCATGCATACAGTAACACACACACGTCCACACACACACACAACATTATTCTTGGTCAAAATTCATGTAAAAATGGTACGCTTTAACATCCAACCCCCATAACTTGGTCAAATCACATCAGATTCTCCGGCGGCTTGACTCTACGTGCATGGTTTAGCCTTTTAATCAATTTGGCATCGAAATCTAGCAAAATTACTCTTGTAATATATATATATATATATCCATATACTTCAAATGTTGAATATACGTTCTTATATAATCATAGGTTGAGCAACAACATGCGGGCAATGCGAGGTTTTCAGGGGAAAGCCCAACACGACTGCTCTAGTCAACAGTGCCCGACTAGTTAATACCCTGTACTCCCAAATCGCAACACTAACATTTGAACTTTCTTTTTAATTCGGTGTTTGGTTTAAAAGTAGACCTAGCTCGAACTAAAACATACTTTCTTGACAATTAAGGGGTAATGGAGAGAGGTATCTATAAAGTAAATTTTTTCTCATACAAGGTATGTAAAAACAATCAGGCAGCTAAAACCAACAGCGTAAAACTCTATGAAGTATTGATTTTTCCGAATTGCCACGCTCCCAGTGGATATATAGCTTTTAGATTTGCACGGTTAACCTTTACGGGGTGACGTGGGCTAACAATTTTAGTCTCACTACACAATTCGATGACTAGCTTAAAAAGTGAACGTGGCTCAATATGGCTAACTTTGACTGAAGCGGATATACACGAGCATATACTTAAAGCGTTGTGAACGAATATTAAAACGGCAGTGACGATTTTCCGTATATAATGTTTAGTCTGTTAAAATTAAAAATTGGGCTGATCCCCAATGTATTGTATGCAAATTTGATCAAAATGTGTGTACGTACGCAGGAAAGGTTTCTTTTATTATATTGGATATCTGCTCACATTTCCCCAATATCAGTAGATATATATTTTCAAAGTCTTTTATACATAACTTGGGGTAACCTCCATCTTAGGGACACAGATTTAAATATTTTAAAAGTAAAATCATTAAATCTCATCATAAAAATTGTACCAGAAGCACCGGAGGTATTTTAGAGGGTATCATCGAGTCGGGCACTTTTGACAAAGGCGTTATAATAATAGTCTAACAAATAAACAATGATGATAAGAGTGCGAGCTAGTACAAAATATTTAGAAGCTATTTGAAAACTATTTGCAGATAATAGTTTAATACAACATTATGAAAATTCAACAATTGGTTACAGGGAAGTAGCAAAGATTACGTCGCTTGAGCTTGGGAGCAGTGATGCCAATTCAGCTATTTTTCTAGCTAGTTTACAGCAATTGCATTTTTTAACATTTCATTTAGCTTCTGTTTTGAAGAGATAGTTGGCAACACTGGCAAGGAGCAAAGAGATAGCTCGCGCTCTCTTGATGTCTCTCCCCATTTGCGAGTAAGTTGCGTTTCGAGCGGTTTCTCACGTTCAAGATGAAGGCAACGTGCAGCTCGGCACGCTTTGTGTTAAATAAGTCTATGTTGATTATTGCAGTTGGTCCCGGTATTACCCAAAACTGCACTTATATATATGTACATATGTCGTGTGCAATGGATGCTTATAGATATAAATGAAAATGCAAAAAAACAACATACCTTTGTTTGCGCTGATGATCCGGAGCTGGAATTGGTTTGGGCGCATCGCCACCTTGATTTGGTTGCTGTAATTTGTCTACTTGATTAACATCTATATTATCATTTATATTAATATTATTAATTTTGTTTAACTGATTTTTTGGCACTTTAGCGGTCGCTGTCTCCTCTGCACTATTACTTTTTTCGTTATTAGGCACTACACTAAAATATTGGTTATTATTATTGATATTTACATCAGACGGCAGCACTTTTATATTCACTGACGTGTCTATTACCGCGTCGCTTATAGCTTCTGCACTAGTACTTGGCGCGCTGCCCAACTTCATCACAATGTTATCTGCTTCTTGCTGTGGCGATGTCGTCGTCGTCGTCGACGTCGACGTCGACGCTGTTGTGGTTGCGGTTGGTGGCGCATCTTCTTTTGCCACATTTGTAACTGTTTTAAATTTTGTTAACGGTATGGCGAAAGTCTCCTCATTTTCTGAGCCTGGCGCCAATGGAATCTGCATTCGAGACTCCGGCTGATGCACGGCTCTGTTCGCATTTTCCGCTGTTGCAGCATTAGCCGAGGAAACATCTGCCGCAGCAGCATTATCATATAGCCAGAAACAGCAGCTGCAAGAAAAATGGAGAGTCGCGAGTCGTAACAATGGTCAGGTACATGTTGAAAATGTGTGACTTGCTTGTTGTCTTACCTTAGTATTAGATTAATGTACATGAAGCGCACTAAATGCAATCTAATTTTCATTCTTTTGTTTTCCAGCACGCGCGCACGCACCGCTTATTATCAAGAAATAACAACAAGGCGACCCGCTACTCGGCGCGAAGGTGTTTCAATTGTCTCGCCCACTTATGCTTAAACTACTTTATTTTATATACATTATTGCCATTCGTTCAATAACGAAATGGTGCAATCTGTTAAACTATGCACAAAACTGTCATACTGTGTTGCCTTTACAAATAATAATAATAAGCAAAGTGCTGCTTAACTTGTCGCAGCCTAAAAAAATAAAACAAATTATAACTAAAGATGTGTGTTGCGCGATAGCTGTAATCGATTGTTTTGCCTATGTACTTTAGTACTTTACCAACACGATTTATTATTTATTTAGGTATTCGTCTTCATATAAAGTACTTTTGCAGTTTATGCAAATACACATTCCTAAAAGAAATGTTCCCTGCGAATAAAGCACCGTTTTTATCTTTAAATGTTCCATATAACGGAACTATTTAAACTCGAATTACATTGGAATGGAACTAGTAGTTCGATAGGCGCACTGGATCTATTCGATTGTTTAAGTGAAGACTTAATTGTAATCAATTTATCGAAACCGATGAAAATATGAAAAACAAATTCATTTTCTCTTTATCTATCTATTAGTTGATTTGATAAATGCTTCTTGGTAAAACGTAATAAAATAATTTATTTCAAAATGTCATTCCTGCGTGGCTCGCTGAACTATGTTTGGTGTACAACCAGCGTGCTGGGCAAAGGCGCCACCGGATCTGTGTTTCAGGTAGGAAAACATTATGCATTTATGTGGCGTATGCACATATTTGATCAATTTTGCAGGGAGTGAATAAGACAACTGGCGAATCCGTTGCCGTTAAAACTTTCAATCCGTACAGTCACATGCGCCCCGCCGATGTGCAGATGCGCGAGTTCGAAGCCTTGAAAAAAGTAAACCATGAAAACATTGTCAAATTGCTGGCCATTGAGGAGGATCAAGAGGGACGCGGAAAGGTTATAGTTATGGAGTTGTGTACTGGCGGCAGTCTATTCAATATACTTGATGATCCCGAGAACTCGTACGGCCTTCCGGAGCAAGAATTCCTACTGGTGCTGGAGCATCTATGCGCTGGAATGAAACATTTGCGAGACAATAAGTTGGTGCATCGGGACCTCAAGCCCGGCAACATCATGAAATTCATATCTGAAGATGGTCAAACCATATATAAGCTGACCGATTTTGGTGCTGCACGTGAACTCGAAGACAATCAGCCGTTCGCTTCGCTCTATGGTACTGAGGAATATCTGCATCCCGATCTGTATGAACGCGCGGTGCTGCGCAAGTCCATACAAAGATCATTTACTGCCAATGTGGATCTGTGGTCCATTGGGGTGACGCTCTACCATGTTGCTACTGGGAATTTGCCTTTCAGACCATTCGGGGGTCGTAAGAACCGCGAGACAATGCACCAAATAACCACGAAAAAGGCCTCTGGCGTCATATCTGGCACACAGTTGGCCGAAAATGGACCTATTGAGTGGTCAACGACGCTGCCGCCCCATGCACATTTATCGCAAGGTCTCAAGACGCTCGTCACGCCTTTGCTGGCTGGTTTGTTGGAGGAGAATCGGGAGAAGACCTGGTCCTTTGATCGATTCTTCCAGGAAGTAACTCTGATATTGCGCAAGCGTGTCATCCACGTCTTTTTTACAAATCGCACCAGCTCGGTAGAAGTGTTCCTGGAGCCAGATGAACAGATTGACAACTTTCGCGAGCGCATATTCCTGCAGACCGAGGTGCCACTGGAAAAACAAATATTGCTCTTTAATAACGAGCACCTTGAAAAGAAAGTGTCACGACGGACCATCGGTATATTAGATGCCCATCTTTCTTGGTTTTTATTTCTAATAGTTGATTTTTTTTGCAGCCAAAGCGTTTCCCAAGACAACTACGGAGCAGCCCATTTTCCTTTACAGCAACGATGATAACAATGTTCAATTGCCACATCAATTGGAATTGCCCAAGTTCCCAGTGTTTCCGCCAAATGTATCCGTTGAAAATGATGCGAGTCTGGCTAAGGTATATCAGCCTTTCATTTCACCGAATCTCAATCGTGAATGCTTTTAGATTTACACGTTTACTTATTACAGGCTGCTTGCAGTGTGGGCCATGAATGCAAACGACGCGTAGATATCTTCACCACCATGGATATCCTAATCAAAAGGGGAGTTGAACAATTTATCGAGATGCTTATAACCACCATTACATTGTTGTTGAAGTGAGTAAAGAAGCAGAGAAAGAAAACTTTCTGTACGTCTAGAAACCATATTTATTTCAACACATACTTAGAAAAACCGAAAGCTTTGACAATCTGCTATCGACTGTAGTTGACTACGCAGATGTGGTGCACATCATGGCAAGTGTGGTAAGCCGAGCACCTTCATATTGTTCATATGATCAGAATGTTCTCTTTTCACAGACAAAAGGCGACCAGGAGCTAAAGACTCTTCTCGGTTCCCTGGACAATGTAAAGAGTGAATTTGATGGAGCAGCCGATGTTATCACGCAGATGCACAAGCATTTTGTTACCGACGACGAACTGAAGTAAGTTAAACTCTTTAAACTCAAGTGGCTCAAAGGTGAACCATGTTGCTGACATTCTTAATTAACAGCGATCAGTGGTCGTCTCTGATGCATGGAAAGAAATGTCCTTGCCGCACTCGAGCTAGCGCACAGGCAAAGTACTTGGTAGAGCGTCTGCGCGACTCTTGGCAGCATTTGCTGCGTGATCGTGCAACACGCACTTTAACTTACAACGACGAACAATTCCACGCGCTAGAGAAAATCAAAGTAGACCACAATGGAAAACGTATTAAGCAGCTGCTGCTGGATAACGTGAATCCTGCTGTAGCGCAAATGGCCGAATGCTTGGCTGACTGGTATAAACTGGCGCAAACGGTGTATCTGAAAACTCAGATTTTGGAGAAGGACGTGCGCGACTGCGAGCGCAAGTTGCATAGTATTCGCGATGAGCTCTACCACATCAAATCTGAGCAGAAGCTTGCCCTAGACACTAAGAATATTAACAGCAATAACCAATTGGCCAAAATTAAGGAACGCAATCGTCTGCACATGATGAAGCAGCAGCAATTAGAAGTGATGGCCGCGATGAGAAAGAATAACGAGCTTATAGCTTTGCTAAGTAATTTAGGAATTTCAAACGGCAACTTGCCTTAGGGGCACAAAATGTATTAGAAATTTGAATTTCTTATTATTATTATTGAATTATTTGTACTATATCTTAAATAAATATTTTGTATAAAAACAATGGGCATTTTAATATCTCTCCTTTATATTAAATGTCTATACTCGTTTTGCATATCGAAACAATATCCTTCCAGCTGAATTTTAAATCAAACGTAAGGTAAAATCGAATGTGATAAATCGATTCCGATATCTGGTTTGTCATGCTGCCGATATGGTTCTATCGATAGTGAAATCGATAGTATATCTGCGCTCGTAGGGGGTGGCATTGCTATTGTTTTCATTTTAGTTTTGGCTTTCGTAATTATTTATTTACAATGTATTTGTGCTCACTATGCTTTCATTACTGAGCACAGTCGGACATATCTTCGATGTGGTGCTAATACGGCCTATTACGGCCGTAATCGAGACTCTCGTGGCGGTCGTGTACTACTTCCTGGCTGCAAGCTGGTTCGTAGGCTACTGTCTCGTTGAAGCCGGCGCGCACATCTGGAAGGTCCTATGCGATGGTTACCAAATAGCTACTATTATATATAAGGAGTGCACTCTCTTCTACTGCGAGCTTCGTCACATGCTCGGCGAGGTGTCCGACTACATATACTATGGCACCGGCGATGGGCTTAGTCTGGCACGCTATTTGGCAGAGGAAGTCATCTTATTTCTGGGCAACGTGCTCATTGGACTTGGCAATTGTACACTGTGGATTCTACTACTGCTGCCGCGTGCCATCATTTGTATTGTAGACTATATAATATTGCTACTCGATAAGCTAGTTAGTTATATTGTAGAGCGTGGCACACATCTGCTTAACAACGTCTTCCGACTGTCAATTGGCATCGCTGTTCTCCTGGTACTGTACATGTTTCGCAGATATGTGTATCTCCTTGCCGTCTATCTGCTGAGAAGCCTGCGTACTGAGGTCTCAACCAAAGTGCGCTGGGTCTTGGAGTGGGCCTCTAATTGGACTGATCGACATCTATCCTGGGTGTTGCAAAAACTGGAGGTTGCCGAACCATCTGGAAATGCGTCGGGCAGCCGAACACATTGTGTGGTCTGCCTGGAACGTAACAGGAACATTGTTGTACTGCCCTGCCGGCATTTTTGCCTGTGCAAGGAGTGCTCACAGCAGCTTCGGCGCTTTGAAGGGGGCAACCGTTGTCCCCTCTGCCGGCATAACGTTGACACATTGATGCCTGTCTTTGACTGAATTACCATTTTTACTGTATGTGTATATATTATAATTATTTTTATATTTTATGTAAGTCAATTTAAGCTCAAAAACGTTTTGTAATAAAATAAAGTATATGACAACAATTGTGTCTTATCTATCTCAAAACGAAGCGTTTGCGACACCTGCTTGAGTTGGCTGCGTATCTTGTTCCTTTCGGGACTCGACTGTCATTGTAGTATGTACATATGTAACATATGTGTATGTACATATGTAACATATGTGTATGTACATATGTAACATATGTGTATGTACGTACATAGCAGAACCTTATTTTTCAAATACTCCATTTTTTGAGTCCAATTCAGATTAGTTCGGATTTAGTCCGGTTTGTATCATTCTTTAGCAAAGAAAATTTTTACTGTTTTCCAAAAGCTTGACAATTATAGGTAATCAAAAAATGTATGAACTTCTTTCAACAAATAGAATTCACTTGGTTAACACTCAAGAAAAAAGTAAACACATTTTATTTGAAATCAGTGATAGTATACATTGTGAATATATATATGCTTTTTAGAACTAATTTGCTCAAAAGTCATATAGAAAAATAGAATAGGTTAATGCTTAATTCTTTATTAAATCGAAATGAAATGATTTGTATTTACTTGTTGGTAGGTACATACAATATTAAACGAAACAATAAAAGTAAAATAGAAAATGTATATCATATATATGCATACAGTAAAGGTATATATATATATATATTTATATATATATATTTGTTTGTAGATATAGCATTTTAGGTGTATTTTTCTATAAGTTTTCTATACATATTTATATAAATAAACATATATATAAATATAAATCCTGTCTTTAGTTATAGCTTAACTGATGGGCTTCAACTTCAACATTTTATTTTGTGCACGAAATATTCTATATTTATGCACATAAGTACAATATCATTGTCAAAGAACCAAATGAAGTACATTATATGTTTTTGTTTTTGGCTAATATATGTTGTTTGTTTTTTTTTTTCGTTTTTTTTTTTGTATATATTGATTTCTTGTGTTCAGATTATTGCTAAAAAATTCAATTTTTTGCCATCCATAAAGCTTCATGGGCTCTTAAACATAGACCCTTGCCTATTATTTATCTGATAGGAAAGTAGATAATAAAATATGCGTATGTAACTATATGTATATATTAAAAATATGCCTTTTACAGATAAATTGTGTATGTATGTATACATGTAATATATTCAAAAGTGTTTTCAAAATCGTTTCATTGATAAATGTATCATTCATTTCTCAAAAATATGCATACCAAAAATGTTTATACTTGACATTCATTTAGATGTACATACATATAAATATACAAAAGAACATTTAACACAAAGGTCTTGTGACAATTTAGAAGTTTCTTGTAAAAGTTCCCTATTCAAAATATATATATATATGTTGATGTACCGATGCATGCGGCATACATAGTGGGTATGTATGAATGTACATATGTATGTATATTTAGAAGGTACAAAGTAGGTTGTAAGTATGTACATATCATTATAACTATATCTGGCTTAAATTGTATTTGTTTGCTTTGCGAACGACTAATTCTCTATTATGTAAAAATATTAAATATTATGATCAAAGATATAAGTTTGTATATTTCCATGGTTTTTATGATATGTAACGGCTAGACAATGGCATCATTTCCGATTTTGAATCCCAATTTAAGCCCATTTCCAAAACCAATCTGGTCACATTCTTTTCAATTTCAATTTATAATTTAACCGCTCTTAACCGTTACGCGAGCTTACGCTTAGGATTACGATAAATACATAGGTAGGTTTACACAAGTGCTTTCTTATGGTTACCTACATCTAGAATGTATATTATCTATCTGTAGAAAATGGCTGTTTACTGGACATATATATATATATATATATATATATATATATATATATATGTATTTATATTCTTAGCACTAGTCCGTTTATTTCGGCTGTGGATTAAATAGTTAATGAATTACTTTGCCTTAGTTAATAATTAGTAATGGTTATATTAATAATTTGCTCAATAATCTTGAATATGAACAATACAATACTCAACAAATGAATAATCAATGAGCTATAAAAGTACAATAAGTACTGTGATATTTAATTCAGCTATTGCACATATATCGAAAATAAGTTAACAACATTTAAGATTTGTATTGTGCTTCCAAAAGCTTGAAGAGATATGTTTTCCATTTGTTAGGCCTAAATGGTTATTGTACTTAGTCTTTAATTATAGCCATGCAAGATTTTGTCAAACAAAGGGGAAAGGCTGTACATCAATTATTTTCTAGCTAAGATTTGTAAGATGTCAATTTTTTACATTGCAGATATACCATTAAAAAATAAAAAACATATAAAAGTTGGACATAAGTAGACTTTAACGCCAATTTATCACAAAACCACACAGAGGGCAATGAATCGAAATAACATGTAGGGAAACACATAATTCAATGCAATTCTTTGAGAACTATTCCATATAATTGTGTGTTATATTATAACTAAGTAATAGATAATGACCTTAAATTACAAAATACTTATGCTTACACCTACTTATACATAAATATCTTTTTCGTCTTATTCAATAGTTTGTGTACTTGTGTGCAGCTCTGTATGTGTCAGACACAAATCACATAAAGGTACTTAAACTCTCTTTGTGCACTCGGTCGTGCCATAAAATCTCAAACCAAGAACTCATGAATGTCGACCAAACTCTATAAACCCTATCTGTATGCTACGTTTAGAGACTATATCTATCTGGTTTTTATTTTAAGTCTAGACAGCAAAGAAGGAGAAATACTTTGTGGGGGAAAATCGTGCTGGCTATATTTATCCGTAATCATAACTTAGGCTTTATTTTGTGTGCATCTGGTTCTTAATACAATTGACTAGACGTAAGCTAAAGGCAAGAGTGGGCATTGCACGAAAGAACTCTGATTTGTACTTGAAGGCAAACAAAAATTGGTCGAATCGAAGCGGGCAGCGAAAGGTTGAGAGTTGGTTTTCCAATATATCCACTAGGTTGTCTAGGTACGCAGCTGGATGTGCGTGTTGCGCCCATTGATTTTGACAGTCGGAATCGGAATTAAACAATTTAACAATTAACGTCAACAAGTTGTAAATTCTGTGTGCAGCTGACAAGTCACGAATAGCCACGGACTTGCCTCAGTGCTGAAATATTCATGAACAGCTCCAATTATGCACTGCTCAGTGCCTATACGGAACCAGGCTGACCCTAGCCTACGGGTACGGGTGCGGGTACGGGTTCGGGCTCGGATCGATCATGCTTATACGTATATGTAAGTGTCTAGTTGGGAACACTTAATTCAATAGCTTTAACTTCCTAAAGACACTGTTGTGTCATGTTTTTTGTTTTATTGTTTCTTGTGTTTTTTCGGGGTTCTGCTATCTCAGGCTCCTTGAGATCACTTAGAACTAGGTACATGCTGTCTGGGAGATTCCAATTTCAATTACTTACGCAATCTATTTACGTTATTAAAAGCTAAATATAAGGAAGCAAAGTTATGGCGCCTAGAAGGGCAATGTGGTAACGAACATGTTCTCAATGAGGGCCGGTGCTGGCACCAGATCCTCCAGCTTGAGATAGAATATGCGCTGCAGTCCCTGGACGCTCAAGGAGCGCAGCTCGGGCAGCTTGCCCAGCAGCCGGCTGAAGTAATGCTGTTTCTTCTGCGCCTCCGCGTTGTAGGTGACATGATCTCGCAGGCTGCCAATAATCTTCATCTGCAGCTGTTCCACCTTCTTCGGCTCTCGCAGGCCATGTCGCTCTGCAAGGAATGGGTAAGTACATTTAGCTCAAATCTGCAGGGTTTGTCTGGGTAGTTGAGTATCCAACCTGTTATGAGGGTGAGGGCGCAGAGGCAGGCAAAGGCCGATATGTCAATCTCTAGATTGTGCAGGCTGCGACTGAACTCCATGATGCCGTTGAGCCAATCGCCAAAGGAGCGCTGGCACTGGTTACGGTGCAGCACCGTGCCGTTGCAGAAAATCATCTTGGTGTCATCGCTGCGGGCGCGATAGGAGAGGCGCAGCACGAACAGCTCCAGCGATGCGGACTGGAAGAGGAGCTCCTGGTCTTCGGGCGTGAGCTCCAAATAGCCGGGAATTTTCTCGGCAAACTGCTTGATCACATCCACCGAGCTGCTCAGCAGCTGATAGAACTGCTGCACCTTGTCGGCCTCGCTCAGGCCCAGTCCACTGGCTACGGTCGGCGGGGTCAGCGGATCGAGTGGCTCCTCGTAGTGTGTGTAGTCCAGGCACGAGGGATCCGGCGTTGTGTCCACGTGGCTGCGCACCAATGCAGTTATCAGCGATATGGGCGGCGATGGGGGCGACTCTTGCGGCGACTTTGGCTTCGAGGGCAGACGCCCGCGGCGACCCTTCAGTGAGTCCGTGCGCACCACCTCCTTGACCATGCCCACGACCAAGCACTTTTGGAAACGACAGAACTGGCAGCGATTGCGCCGCCGCTTGTCCACCGGGCAGCTCTTGTCCGCCAGGCACACATACTTGGAGCCCTTTTGCACGGTCCGCTTGAAAAAGCCCTTGCAGCCCTCGCAGGTCCTCACCCCGTAGTGCTGACAGGCGGCCGTATCGCCGCACACGGCGCACAGCTGCGATGAGTTTGGATGAGTGGACTGCAGCAGACGCCCCTGGGCCTGGTTGTGCAGAAAATCCGTGCCGGCTCCGCTCACTGGCGAGCTGGCAGCAGAATTGGGTGCCGAGCTCAGCTGCACCTGCAGCGCATTCACGGTGTGCGCATTTCTCGAGCCCAGCGCCAGCTTCGCCATCTTGGGGCTGTGCGCGGCGGCGGCGGGCGAAACGGAGCGCTGCACAGGCAGCGAGGCACGACGCAGCGGGGGCACGACCACGACAGAGCCGGAGTTGGCACCGCCATTTGCCGCGGACGCGCCGGCAGCCGTTGCTGCCTCCAGCTCGGAAATGGTGGGAAATGTGGGCAAGGAGTAGCGCTCGCCATTCGGCGTGTTGTAGTTCTGCAAAGGATTGAAAGCATATCCTTAAGGCAGCTGCCGGAATATCGGGCAGGAGGTTCATACTTACAATGTGCTGATAGCCTGGCTGCTGTTGCCCGTAGAAGCCATCATTAGGGCCCACTCCGCTGTACTCGTAGAGCGAGCTGGCCGACGAGCTGGGCGAGGGATTGGAAGCGCCGTTGATGGCGTTGAAGTGACCATGGTAGTTGTAGCCGCTGCTGTTGCTGCTGCTGTTGTTGTTGTTGTTGTTGTGCCCGGCGGCTGCCAGGGCCGAGGGCTGAGCCTGCAGCTGGTGCAGCGACTGGCCAGAACCGGGGCCAGAGTTAAGGTCAGCCATTACCTCCGCAGCGGTGGTCAGCGGAAAGCAGTCCTCATCCATTTTAATGGTCAAGATCTGATCGGAGGGCGTGCCCGTGGCCGAGGAGGACGCCTGCTTCGGACTGCTGGCGCTGCTGCTGTTGTACTTGACAGAGTAGGTCTCCTGGAAACTGGGCAGGCTGCTGCCGCACGAGAGCGGCCCCCCAATGGGTGAGATCAGTAAGTCGCTGGCGCCGTGCCGCTGCAGATAGGCGGCCTGCAGCTGTTGTTGCTGTTGCTGCTGTTGCTGCTGCTGTTGCTGCTGAGCGTGGAGTGCAATTGCGGGATCGCTGCTGGAGCGCAGGCTGAGCAGGCAAATCGCGTGATGATCCTGCTCGGAGCCGGCGCTGCTATTGGCTGGGGCCTGGTCTTGTATTGAGGAAAGCCGCTTGTCGCGCAGACACGTCAGCTTGGTGAGATTCTCAATGGAGCCTGTGATATCCTCGCTGCTGCCGATCAGAGTCTCACTGGACGGCGTCACATCAATCTGTGTGTCCGGATAGCTGGCAACCGAATGCTCCAGCGCCGGCGAGAGCAAAGAGTTGTTCGAGTCCGATGGAAAAAATAAATCCGAGAAGAGTTCGCTGTGCGTGACGGCCGCATCGGCAAGATTGCTGATCAGCTGATCCTCCTCATGGGTCAGCAGCGAGACCTGGCTGGATGTGGGCAGCAGCAGATGCTGATGCTGTTGCCCAACTAGCTGCTGCTGCTGTTGCTGTTGCTGCTGCTGCTGCTGCTGCTGTTGCTGATGCTGATGATGATGGCGATGATGATGATGGTGATGGTGTCCAGCACTACTCGCTACTGCAGCTACTGTGGACGTCGTCGTTGTCGTTGCCACGGCTTGCGTTGAGAAATTGTCGAACGACGAGAGTGAACTAAAGGAGCTCTGCAAGGCAAGAAAGTCCGGGTTAGACTAAGTTAGTGGCAGATACTCTGCAGCGCAGGATAGCTTCTATTCCTAGTCCTCGTCAAGGGTGGAGTCAAGTCGCCTGTTAGACATGCGCGATGCTACAGCGCCTGCCGATTGGTGCACGGATTGCAACCCCTATTAGACAGACAGTCATATAATTGTGATGCTCTGTTCGCAGCTCTGAGCTGAGTATATATATTCCCTAAATATTAATATATGCTAGAAAGTTATTAAGCTCAGTCTTATAGCTGAAATGGTCTTTAAATAACAATAGAAAATTTAAAGCGTGAGTCTCTTAGGGATTTACCGACTTTTTCTAAACCAAAGTTAAAAACTCCTCAAAAAATGATGCATTAAAAAAATTAATTGAAAAGCAATCTATATTAAAATGTTAGTGGAGGATTGAAATTGATGCTCCGATTGTTTTCTAATTTTTAACTATTACAATTACTATTACCATAATCAGGAAGATCCCCTTTGGCTTTTCTTCTGCTGTGAACAGAGTAGTGCACAGTCGCTGCCACCCGACTGCGAACTTCTCACTTGTTTTCTAATTGGTTCTGCCTGACGCTTTGGCTGCCAATGTTTGCCAACATACATATTTCATTAAATTCAATTAGACAGCTATTGTGGTAGTTGCTGTAGCTGTTCTTTTGTGGTGCTTGGGTGGCTTGGCTAGCTCCTAACTAATCTGCTCACCTCCTAGCCTCCTCACAGCTGGCAATTAAGGTGGCCATTGAGCCATTGGTCTTGCCACATGGAACTTTGCAGCGACACATTCTGTATATTAGGCAACATCTGCTCCGTTAAAAAATTAACATAATAACAATGTGCAAGCTCTGCTTTTATACCCTGTACTGATAAAGAGGTATAATGGCCTTGTGGAAATGTATGTAACTGGGAGAGGAGGCTTGATCGACTCCAGAAGGAATATACATTTCAGTATTCGATGCGATCTACACAAATTCGTCGTTCTACTGGCTATCCGTTTGGTTAAACGAGACTTGAAATAGGTTCTCCTATTAATTATCAATAAATCGATGCTGCTAAGAGTTAGAAAAAAAGATTCTGAATATTTGAATTCTTGAATGCGTTCCAACTTCCCCACAATAATAATACGTATTCTTCCGGGTATAGACTTAGGCTTTGGTATTTGCACACTTTTGTATACCATAAAAAATTTACTGAAAATTTCATAAAGATCGGACTATAAACACCGAAGTTAATCAGGACGCATTTCCCATAGTATGGGCCTTATATGGGGCTGCGTGTCTGTATTTGTGTGTGTGCATGTATAGTATCTAGTTAAAATGCTTGTAAAGCTAGCTAGAGGGTAGGTTCGTGAAATCTTCCAGTAGGGCTCTCCCTTTTAAAGAACTTGTTTCTTTTGCATTACCAGGCTTGGGATCTTAGCTGTTTAGGACTTTTTATATGAATTGAAAATAAGTAGTAGAAGTCAAAATTAAGCATGAACTTGAATGGCTTCCAATATCCTTTGTATCCCTCTAAATAATCCCTCTCTTAAATATATATATATTTTATTTGATTTGATTTTCATGTTGGCTGAACTTACATTGGGTTGCAAAAGTAACATGCTTGTAGTCGCTTGGTTTTGAAGCCTCGTTTGGCTGCTTTTGGTGGTTGCTGCAGTTGTTGTTGTTGCAGTTGGGGCAATTGTCGTTGCAGTCGCGGCTTCTGCTAGCTTGGTGTCTGTTTTTGGAGATCTTAGTGGAGTTCTGGTTATTGCAACGTTCACACTTTCGGCTTTTGGGCTCTTGGATTTGCCCACTTTCGAGAAATGCTTGGAGCCTTGCTCCGTTGATTTTGTGGGCGGCGTTCTGCGCTGCTCACTTGCTGTTGTCTCTGCACCTGCAAGGATAATAGGGTGAAAACCATTAGGACTTGGCCTTTAATATGCTTCCGTGATAATTTGCAAATGTTAAGCGGTGTCTGGGGCATACTTTATTCTATAAGCGTGGCTGATGAGCTGATTGTCTGATGCCTGGCCATAAGATGTCACTGGCTCGAAAAAAAAACACACAAGCATAAGATTTATTCGGCAGCAAGACATTTTTAATAAAAATCGTTGCTCAATTGTCTTGCGTTCCACACGCAAACAACCGTATCGAATGTCTTAATTAGAAATGCTTATGCACCGCTCCTCAGTCGCCATCCGAGTCGCAAGAGTCGACTCTGTGGCTCTGGCTACCCTATGTGGACACCTCTGTGTGTCACGAGGAGGGAGCAGGGAGCAGGGAGCAGTGTGGAGGTCGGAGGTTGCCAAAAGCGATGCTCACGTTGCAGCCAGGGCTGGGGGACTGGAGTCTGGCCGCAGCCAGCGCCAATACGAGGATCGCATCTCAATCTTGGTTAATGCTGCACATTAAATGTAATAAATTGTGCTGTCCGTCGACTGCGCTGGCTTTGCGGGTGTTCGCTTTTGATTAAAATAAATATTATGGCCTGTTCGAATTGCAAAACGACACTTCGTTTCGTTTTGGTTTGGTTTGCTTGTTTGCTGATTTTCATATTTGTTTCATAAAATCATTTTTCACAATTTGTATAGTTTTATTTCGTTTAGCTTAATGTATATTTCTTTTAAAGCAGTTGAATAGATTTCCTAATGGCTGAAGATAAACAGCCCGTACAACTTAAGAGATTCAGATATAGCTAAAAGTAATCGTACTTGATTACATCTGGTTCTCATATGAACTAGCGGGCATTACCCGGCTTTGCCTGCACAAAGTTTTTTCTTGTATATTTAAAAAAAGAATTAAATCAAAAATTTTAAGCAAGTTTTTAATGAAATTTTACAGGCATCTTTGGAAGTGAGCATTAAGCCTGATCCTCAAAAGTTTCATACAGCCGATATCCACCAATTTTCCACAGATACGGGCGAAATTTCTCAAAACAATCAGACTTTTGAAATATAAAATTGTAACATCTCGTTAATCTACACGTTCAATGTTCGAAAGTAATAATTTCGTTTGAATATCATATGTAAAAATGGCAGCTATAAATAGTACAGATTAGAGCCAAGAGTTATGGGGCATACAATTAATTGATTAGCATCGTCAATAATCTATCCAATAAGTACTTTTGAGCATTAGATAGATTGAAAATTTCTGGTAATTTGATTTAATTTGCGAAAATGCTTTTAGCAATTATATTTGATTTCTACAATTTTCTATTAAATTTATTTGCTTTTTGTATAGCGAACGTAATCTTTTGCAAATCGATCAGACTGAGACTGAGAAACAATGAGCCACACCGGGAAAGATTTAAAATGGAAATAAAATATCATTGCTGTGCTGTTAGCATTAGCCCTGGGTCATTTAGAAAGCAATTGATCGATACCCTTTGAGCCGGCAACAAAATACCGAAACAAAAACCCCAAAAACTACCGTGGGCTACCGTGAAAAAAGCTACCGGGAAGAGCGTGCGATATTCATTTAATAATATAACAATGTGCCATTGTTTTTATTACCCATGGGCATAGCCGAAAATATTTCTGGCTGCGAAGCCTAAGCTTTGGGTTGGGTCTCGCAGCCAGTTGCATCTTCAAATATTCACTAGACTAGATTTTTTTTTTCTTTTCATAGATTCGGTGTGCTGTATTTGGGATGTCGGCTTTTTGGGAAGGCAACATAAACAATTTCTTGGTTGGGGTCCTTTATGTGCCATCATCGCCGGCTAACAAATTTATTATAATGCTCTGCTGCTGGCTAGGCCCAAGTTTCGCCAGTTTTCTCGTGTCTTCTTCTCATTGCATAACTTGGCTAATTTTTTGTATTTTTTTTTCTGCTTTTTTTTTTTTTTTTTGTATAAGATTGTTAATACATATTATTTTGTAAGCAGCAGAGTCTCGTCTGCGAGTGTACTTTGAACTGCGAACTCTATTGCACGCTCTGCTCTGCCTGGCTGCTTGATCAATGGACATGGACATATGCATCTGCCGAAACTGTCAGACAGACAGACACAGAGACGCAGAGAGTCAGATACAGACAGGGACAGGGGCTAAGAGGAACTTGCGCAGTGACCCAAAGAAATGGTAATGCGTCGTGGTCGTCGTCGTTGCATGGTCGACGTCTTTGGCATGCCGCACGGGTCAGGCGGTTGGGTGACTCTGCCCGCTTCGTCTGCTCCGTCCGCTGCGTCCGCTTTGGCATTCAGTCATTGAGTCAGTGGGTGCAACGTTGGTTACGCGGACAGCGCAAAACGTTGCACCAGAAATCAGACGTTTCGGCCGCCTTGGGTATGGTTAGTTTCGTGTGAAGTTTTGTGAGAAGTATACAAATGGATTTCAGGTTTGGGCCAAGGAGTTAGTCATTTTGTCAGACGCTGCCCATGCTGCTGCTGCTGCTCTGCTGAGCTGCTGAGCTGCAGGTTTGGCAGGGGCACGGCGGAGGCGTCGATGCTATCGCCTTTGAAATCCACGACAACGGAGGCGGTTGCCCCAATAGACTCTCTGCCGTAGACCTGCGCCCAGGCCACAAACTTCCTGCAGTACCTTTGATGATGATGATGATGATGCCGTTCGTCTGCCCCATTGTTGGCCTGGGTACTTGTTTAGACTTTCACTATTAATTGTCGATTTTCATCGATGGCTTTTTGCTTATTTTTTTTTCTCTTGTCGTTGTTGTTGTTGTTGTTGCTGGCTCTGATGCTGCACAAAATGTAATACTTAATGGGCAATGGGTAATGGGGTTGGTATTTAAAGTTGTGCAAAAAGACAGAAACAAAACCCAATTTCTGTGAAACTCATATCGAAACTGTATCTATTACTCAATGCTCTCGAGTGAGAGACAATTTGATTGATTTATGCAATCGCGTTCGCCGTCTTATGCTACATTGTTTTCGTTCCAACTAATTGCCCGACTCGTCTTCAACTCTGGTCTGCGACTTGGCCCATTTGTGCCCCGATACAACTATTACAACATATTTTGTTTGCCTCTCAGCATTTAGACCTTATTAAGATTCTTGAGAACATTTTCTTTATCAGACAATTCTAAGAACAAATGTGTCTATTTGATGCCGTTTTGATAATGCTTTAAGGCATTAAAATATCTAAAAGTAATATCAATAAAAATACCTAACAGGCAAGAGAAGACTTATCCAATTCTTATTCTTGATCAGCATCAACAGCCGATCTCTTGCTTGATTTCAGAGAATGTATCATATCCATCGGCCAAGAATGGAAAACAATTACAGCCAACATTTGTAATATATGGACATACATATATAATATATAATGGACATGGGCTAACAAAATCTAGCCATGTCCGCTTGTTTTTATGTTTATCTGAATAAACGGGCAGTAAAATATAAGTGTCTTCTACGAACTTGATGTCAGAAATCTGCGTGGCTTAGGTGCCTGAGCGTCGAACTCACAGGCGGGAGGTCGCCAGTTCAAATGCAGTTTTATGCATTTTGTATTAGATACAAAGCAAAAAGCAACATCAAAAAATAAAAACAAACAAAGATATGGAAACGAATAAATATGAATGATAATAAATACAATTTTTTTATGCTTGTTTTGTCATCTATAAGACTATAATATATATTCCTTGACAGGGTTCACTTAGTCACATGCGGTGGGATCAGGCTCGCAGCATTGAGGACGAAATTTTCATTTAAGTTGGAAAACAAGTGTGCTTTAATAAATGAGATACAGGCAAAGAATGGACGAAGGGGAAATGCATCAAAAAATAACAACATCAAGAATTATATTTAAAAACAAAGCCACTTTTTGCCAATATCAGTAAATTCTTGAAATTATAAAAATATCGTGAATTTTATCAACTGAACTAAAACAACTTTTGTTTAGGTCAAAAATGAATTAATCCCCGGCTCGATAGGGAAATAGTGAAAGTAAAAGAATTTCAAGCCGAAAGAAGCGCCATGAGTCAAAAAACTTCCCAATGAAGTAAAACAAAAGTGTCGCAACAATTCGTAAAAATGTCTTTGCGCCACTTTAAATACTAAGTAAACCACAAGACCGAGATCGAAGGCGACGATCGGCGACGGGCGACGGGCGACCGCGTCATCATTTTTTAATCGCTGCAAAAATGATCGAAGGCCATCTTGGACATTTCAGAGTGAGCCGGAGCCGGCCAATTGAGTGGATTGAAGTCATTTAATACGCGCGTGAGCGCATCTTAACCAGTTGGCCCATCCCCTTCTCAACTGGGCTCCCCTCTGAGCAGATTGGCCAATACTTTGGCTTTGGCACTTGCCAGCGATGTACTCTGGAACTTGACGGCAGCTGCTGCTGCTGCTGCATTGGTCATCGTCGGCGTAGACGTCGAGCATTATGCAAAAGCGGATTCATAAAAATCAACTGCAGGCTGCGGTTGCGATTTGTTTCTGTTTCAAATTTGCATGAAATTCTAATAAAAGATTTACCGTTCAGTTGTTAGGTGCTTCTCGGGGGAGATGCAGCCTCTGTTTTCGGATTCTCAATCTGAAAAACTGGTTTAATTCAAATTGGCGTGTTATATCATTTGCGAATATGAGATTCACATGCGTGGCACTCTGATTTACCACGAAGAACCAGTTCTAAGACCCAAACAAATATGTATGTACTTTGTAGAAGCAATAGCTATTTAAATAATCTCTTTCAGTTAAATTTACATCACTTCTGTGAATAATTCTTTCATTATATACTATACTAGCGAAATACCTTGAGCCTTGGTTTTTATACCCTCAACCCATTAAAAATGGGTATAAGGGTATATTGTATTTGTGCGAAAGCCAAATGTATGTAACAGGCAGAAGGAAGCAACTCCGACCGCATAAAGTATATATATTCTTGATCAGCATAAATAGCTGAGTCGATCTAGCCATGTCCGTCTGTCTGTCCGTCCGTC